AGGATTTAAGGTTAAGGTTCAGGGTTTGGGGCCTTAGGTCTTAGGATTTACGATTTAGGATTTAGGGTTCGGGGTTTAGGGTTTCGGATTGAGGATTGGCTTAGGGCTTAAGGGTTAGGGTTTTGGGTAAAGGGTTTTCGGCTTAGGGTTTGGGGTTTGGGTTTTGAGGGTTTGCTGTGAGTTAGCGTGCTGGCAGTGTTGATTGGTATTCCACGATCCCTCGTGTGCATCGTTGCATGCGAAGTGCAGCTCTGGCTCGCCTGTGGAGAGCCATCTCATTCATATCCCTCCCGACAGTCTCAGGCGGCCTAACCACCCAAACCTATTCCTTTTAGGCTTTCGGACCTAAACTCAATTATATCCATCTTGGCCAACTCCACCTTTTTCAGCTCGACAATTTCCGCTTATTTCGGCCTCTTAGCTTCTTATGAAGATAACAGTATTTCATCTTCATGTCACTTCAGCCGAAACGGGCCTGCCGCATGCGGGCCCCCAGAGGCCCCCACAGTCCCTGAGGTCCCCAAGGGAGGTGCCCAGGCCCCAAGAGGCTTCCAGTGTTGCCTTGCGGCTTTGGTTTGGGCCTCTGGACCCGCTAGGGTACCCCTGCTTGAAGAGAGGATCCTGACCACCAGCCCCCTCCAGAAACGAAAAGCCTGGGGTTTAGGGTAATTAAATTTATTGAAGGACCAGTACTGGTCCCACAGGAGAACATGTTCCGCGGGTCCATCGTGGGTGTTACCGAACCGTGGCTGTGCTGAGTTGGGCTACTGTGACCCGCGCCATTGAGGTCGGAGGGCATAGGCGCCGCCCACCATCGTAGGTGCGCGGCCTAAGCCCTGAGTTGAGGGTTTAGGGTTGGGGGTTCCGTGTTTGGGGGTTTGGGTTGACGGTGTGTGGGTTAGGGTTTGGGATTTGGGGTTCAGGTTTGAGGTTTGGCGTTCAGGGTTGTGTTTGGGGTTTAGGGTGTATGGTTTAGGATTTAAGGCTAAGGTTTAGGGTTTGGGCTTGGGTTTGGGGTTTAGGGTAGGGTTTAGGACTTACGCCAAGACCGGAGTTGTCGTGGTTGAGTCATTGAGTGCGTGGCTTTCCGGAGATGTATTATGCGTGTGATAGGATCCGATACTACGCTGGGATTTCCATCCCGCACTCCACCCTCAACCCCAAACCCCGAACAAAAAAAAAACTGAAAACTAGAACCCCAAAGCCCCAAACTCCAAATTCCTTCATACGTTCATGGACACTACATCCCACACCCACTGGTCGAAAGTTGCCACTCTCAGGTCTCTCCCCGGACCACAACATCACCTGAGCTGCAAATCGAAAAGCTCGTCATCAAAATTGCAGTTCAAAGCTCTTACACGGGGACGTACGTTTTGGGGTTTAAGGTTTAAGGTTTGGGTTTTAGAGCTGAAGATTTAGAGTCTAGAATTTAGGGTTTAAGGCTTGGGGTTTGAGGTTTAGGCTTCAGGGGGTTGGGGTTTAGGGTTTGGGAAGTGATTCCATCGGCGGCTGGAAGAGCACTTAGGAATCTTCCCTGCCAGTCCGAGATTAGGGGACACCAGTTCAAGGTTAAGCCTAAACCCCAGCGCCCGAAACCCCCTCAAACCCGCAACACCCTCAACCCTAAACCCACAAACCCTGAACTCTGAAGCCTGAACGCCCTGAACCCTAAACCAAGGCTCACCTTGCTGTTCCTGCTCCAAGACCACTTTGCCAAACTTCTGGACGAAGGACACCACCTGAACAAGCAAAGTATAGGGTTTATGGCTTAAGGCCTAGGGTCTAGCGTTTAAGGTTTAAAGTTTGAGTGTTGGGTGTAGGATTCAGGGTTCAGGGCTCAGGGTTTAAAGTGTAGATTTCTTTGAGGGGTTCCGTCTCAAAGTTGGAGTTGGAAGCACGTAGAGGATTCTCCAAGGGTTCCTCCCGTTGTGCATCCAGCAAAGGTGTACATGGATGCTGTTCTGGGTGCAGGCACACTTGAAAAGGATTCCTGGGCAGGCCTGGGTGGTAATTTAGGGTGTAGGGTTCAGGGTGCATTATACCCGACCCTCTCAGGGACAACTGGTCTTCGAAACCCCAAGAATTGATCCTCAAACCCCTGAAGTTTTTAACCCCAAAAAACCAAAGCCCGAAGCTCTAAACCCGAAGCCCGAAACCCTAATAAACCCCAAAACCTTTAACCCCAAAATCCTCAACCCTCAACCCTACACCCCTAGCCTGAGCATTGTTGCTCCTCTTCTTTAGTCCGTACATGATGTCTTCGGCAGCCCAAAGGCTGGGGTCTTGTGTCCACCTGTGACGCAACAGGCTAAGGGTTTGGGTTTGAGTTTTAGGGGGGGTTAAAAGGTTCGGGGTTAAGTGTTTTGGGTGTTTGGTTTAGGTTTCGGGTTTGGGGTTTAGGATTTAAGCTTAGGATCACAGCGTAGGCGCACACCCTGAACCCCTTAACCCTACACCCTAAATTAGAATTATACTTGTAGGTCAGACTTGGGTTCTAAATGCAGTTAGAATTGGGTTGTAAGTAAAGTGCCCCTTCAGGTACAGGAAAAGCATCTCCGCTCTGCCTGGAAGCCAGTTGCCCCATCCGTGTTGACCTACTTTGGAGGGGCGCTTTCCCAGACCCCTGGGAGGATCTAAAGAACAAAGCCCTTGACCCTAAACCCTCACACCCTAAACCCTAAGCCCTCAACCCAATTCCCTGCCTCCCGAATCCCTCAACCCTAAACCAAGCCCCAACGCCCCTCCCGAACAAAAGGCTTTCGGGGTGGATGTAAAAGGGGGTCCGAAAACAGGGGCCTAGGAATATGGGTAGTTCTCTAAATTAGGGTCCGTTTTAGGGTGTAGTATTTTGGGAACCTAAAAGGGGACCCTAATTTAGAGAAGTACCAAGGAGTGCTTCACTTGCTGTGGTGATTTGGCTGTGTTGAGTCCTAGGTGAAACCCGGAACTGCAGGAATCTTGCCACAAGTTTACGGTTGAGGGTTGAGGGCTTTGGTTTTAAAGGTTTAGAGTTTAGGTCTTTGGCTTTAGGGTTTAAGGTATTAGGGGTTTAAGGTCTAAGGTTTGAAGGTTTAGGGTTCAAGGACCCTGAACCCAAAGCCCGAAACCCCAAACCCCATAGCCTAGAAGCTTCCGAGTGTAGCAAGCCGGGTTCCGGGATTTATGGGTCTGGAAATAGGATAATACCCCTGATTAGAGGAGCGCTTTACTTGTAACCTAGTTACGACCTAGTTATATTTGATTGAAAATGATAACCAAATTTTTGACCTACTTAGGGGACTTAGGGGCAGAAGTGGGTTATAGTTACAAGCGTAATTCAGTTTTAAGTGAAGCGCCCCTCTAAGTGGTGTTGATCGTACACATCGTGCGTGACCTTACCCAAAGCCCCAGGAAATACATGGTAGTATGGTATATATGAGGTCATGCAAGATATACGTCATCAACAGTATGTCTCCTTGTGGAAAGAGACAGCCCTTGTTTCAGGTACGCTTCCAGCCGCCCTGCCTCAAGTTCATGCTTGGCGCGAACGCGCTGGTCTTTGCCCACAGCTGGGCATTTCCCGCGATGAAGATGATCAGGCAAACCTGGCATCTGGCTTGCATTCCAGGCATGGAAAGCAAGTCGCATTCAAAAAAGAGGTTATGTTGCATGATGAAGGGAACTATCGTACAGACTACATGTTAGCATATGCTCTCAGCATGCTCGCACGGAACGCCATTCTTACAAAAAAGCACTTCAGACTTTACAGTTTAGGGGTTTAGGGGCCTAAGGGTTTAGGGGCTTAGGGGTTAAACCATAAGAATCAGAAAAGAACCAGCCTTAACAGCACAGAACACAGCTGCACAAAAACGGCAAAGAACAGAACAGACCAGCAAAAAGAATAGTGCTGACTGGAGAACGGTATACAAGAAACAGGGACAGGAAGTGGTACAATGTAACATTTCAGGGAATTTTCAGGTGGGCAATTACCAGGCGGGTACCCTTACATAAGCCTTGTGTAAAGCCTATATGGGGGGGACTGGGACTATATAAGGGCTATGTGAAGCTTACATGGGGGAAACTATCCACCTGAAATTCCCTTAGAAACATTGGGTCCTGAAGCCCAAGCCACCACAAAGCAGGCGACCCGAAGCTCTTGGAACTTTACCCAGAGATTTGATTGATGGAAATCCTATGGGCCCCCATTTCTGGAAGGTTGTTATTCACCTACCATATACCACATAAGAAACAAGAGCCAATAGTTCCAACCCCAGTAGAGACGCTCAGGGACTATACCAGGGGCCATACTGTAGGAAACCAGGAAACCCTGGGAAAAGATGTAGCGTTGGTCGCTCCCAGCCTGTGCTGTAGCGGGCCGTCCTTTGAAAAGAGTCGCACGTACATATAGAATGGCACCTATAAACTACAGGATGCTCCTAAACCCCACACCCTAACTTCAAACCCTAAACCCTAAATTGCCCTAAATCCTGTTGCCAGGGGTCTTCCTGGTCATAGCTATTTCAACTGCTACGGATAGAAACCCCCGTGAAGACTCCACGAAGCATCGTAACTGAACTCTGAATCCCAAACTCACGCACTCAACTTTCCTACAGCAAGGGGCCCCCTTAGAAATTACAACCTAACCTAGGGTACTTATAACCCACTTGGGGGCCTTGTAACGAACCTTTTTACTGCCCTTATAACTGGGGGTCCCCTTGTTGTAAACCCTCAAAGCTCCAAAACCCTAGGCCCAACCGGCAAATCTTGACATGCTGCACCCTTCTACCCAAACCCTCAACCCTAAAACTTGGCTACTGCCCATACCCGCTAACAGTTTTATAGGGGGCTTCTAATAAGGTATGCTATCGTTGCAACTACCCATGTGGGGGACTGTTAGCTAGTGGGTTTGGGCAGCACCCAACCTAAAGCCTAAACCCTAACCTCTCAACCCTCACCCTTTCCCAGCCAAGGCTCGAAATTCTGAAGGGCCAGGGCAAGGCCAAAGGTACCCAGGACCCACACAGATACGGCTCCCATGAAAAAGATGCACGACTCCACCTCAGGATGTATGGTTTAGGGTTTAGGGTTTTAGGGTTTAGCGAAGGTTTAAGGTTTTAAGTGTTCGGGATGGTTTTTAGGGTTTAGGCTTGTATGGAGGATTAGGGTTTAGGGTTTTCAGTTTTTGGGTTTTGGGCTTTGGGTTTCGGCTCTCACACTAGGGCTTTGGGTTTAGGGATTGGCTGGCGGACTGGGTACGTACATTGGGAAACACGGAGTTAATGCACAATACGATCTACCATGAGTTGCAAGTGGAAACCTCGGCTCCAAGAGAATGAGGGTTCCGAACATGTGTCTCTCGTGTTTCGGTTTAGGGTTTAGGGTTTAGGGTTGAGGGTTCACAGTTTAGGGGTTTAGGGTCTAGGGTTTCTATTTCGGGTTCGGGTTTAGGGTTTAGTGCCGGGTTTAGGGTGGTCTAAAGTTTACGATACAAGTTTAGGATGGAAGCTTCGAGCAAAAGGATAAGTGACACATGGGAACGCTTCTCAGCACAAGGCCGCGAAGACAAGCAAACGCGGAGGAATGTGAACTCGTACTTTGTGTAATCGCCTTCAAATGTCAAATACTAATCCCAACTACAGAAAACTATATAGGGAATTAGTCAGAGGGGTGGCGGAAGGGTTAATTTTCGGGGGAGGTGATTACTTTGTGTACTTTGTTTTTGAGTCTGGCAGGGGGGACACTCCAAAACAAAGGATCCCAAATGAAAGACACTCCTGACCTAGCCACCATAACGTTTCTCAAGTAATTGGACCCCCGGGCCTAGCAGTTGATCGGACTGTGGGATTTGTAGGGTGGGTGAGGACCCCGGGGGCGGTACTAAGGGATTCTTTCGCGACGAGCACCCCCCACCCTCCACTGTCCCCTGCTAGGGTGAAAGTACCGCTGATCCCTCGCCCGCACGGGCTCAAACTGCTGGGAGACCTGTTGTTATATCACGTTGGTCTAGACATGCAAGTTGCTCGTCTGCCCTCGTTTCGTGTTTTGCTCACTTACGCACGACGCTCCAATTTTGCGGCATTGATTGGAAAACAGCAACCTTATCCTCGCATATCTGCCATGGCGTCTGAGAGGCGCAAAATATCTGCAGCTTCGAGGGGCTCTGGTTTGCGGCGCCCCGCTTAAGTTGGTATTGCTCTTGCCATAGTCAGCCCATTCAGTTCTCAACTGGTACTCCCTTCATGGTGCTATCAACTGAAGGGGCGACAGGTGTGTCCGAAGTGCGATGTGCACCGATGCTGATCCTTTCGGGGGCGATCGCCAATAACTGTACATGCGGGCATTTCTTCTTGCAGCCTGTAGGTCGCTGTTGCACTGGAGCTCTATGCATTGCTGATTGCCTTGACTCGACTACTTGTGACCTTGCATTGTACCTTGCCCTACCTGACTCCCGTAGCAGGTTTGCGGGGCTGGATGGCTCCCTGCTTACGGTGCGTTTCAGCATAAACGAATGCATGGAACCGTGTAGTCTTATAGACCGTTGCTGCAGTACCTGAACCTGTATTGGGAATGCGCATTGCATTGTTAATCTTTCCATGAGTATGAGTATTGAGACGTTGAGGATTCCTGTTACTGTTATTATTATCTCTTTGATCACTGTCGCGTTGCTCCTTCGGGCATCCAAGATGCGGATAAGGGATGCTGGTTTAAATTCCTCGTTGATTGTTCGTAGCTGATGGGACTGCGCAGGTATGAAATTCGTCTGCTTTGACTTGACGGATGGTACATTCTATTAGCAGTCAGGCGTCCCCTCACCGAATTGCCGTGTGTATGCCAAGAAGCTTCGGCAAGGAGCCATCAGGAAGGACAGGTGTTGAGAGAGCTGTACTGTCAGGCGAGACCGGTAAATAGTTCCCTAGTAGTCTCGGTGCTGCTGTGGTTGTCCTGCAAGCGGCTTCTGGCTCCTTGCATATTACTGCCGAGTGTGTGCGTCGGGAGTCCTACCAAACAGGTGACTGGACAGCATGTTGTGCGGTCCCACCTACGCCGAGTGGAAGCGGGGCAAAGAGTTACCAACGGCACATTGCATGTAGGCCAAGCCACATTGAACTTCGACCAGGCAGTCGGAAATTCTTGATAGCAAGTTGAACGCTGCTTGTTGAATGTTGGTCTCGGAAGCAGAAGCAGAGGGACGTCTGACGACACGCTGAGATAGTATTGTGCTGGTGCGGAGGGACAGTGCAATCAAGGTGAGTCAGCAAGTACCCTGTGTCAAATCGTGTAGCCTTTTTGTTCGAGTTCCCTGGGTGTAACCGGTGCAAACTCCACCAGCCACGCCATGCTGTTCGAGGATGAAGCTAAGCGTGCTCTCCGCCTCACCATGGACATAGCTGAAAGAAGCATCGATGCTATGTTTGCTGCCCACGCTGCCCAAGGCACTTCCCGTCCACCACTAGTTAGGCGAAGGACCGCTCGGGTAACCGGGCCCAGCACACCCACCACGGATACTCGTGGACGTTCACGAAGCCGTTTGCATGGAAGGACAGTCCAGGGCCGACACAGTGGTTATCAGGTATCCGCTGGTCGCCCAAGCTCTTCCCACCAACACCGTACCCGTTCATCGCATGTGGGTTATGTGAGTGAGCGCGACCCAGAGAGGGAGAGGACACGCGCACCACCCGCCCGACCTCGCAGGCCTGATCACTCTGCACCCCTGCGCCCGGCACCCCGATCTTCGCAGACACACAGGCGCATATTTGGTGCCGGCGCTTCAAGGTCAGGCAGTGTCCAAGGTCATTCCCCCACCCCAGTGTCTACTCCCATGCCCGGCCTGACAGTGACATTTCCGGCAGGATTTCACATTGGTGGTCTCATGTCCCCACCCTCCCCTGCAGCTGTAGAGTCTGTGCTATGTACGCTGGCCACACGTTCCTCTACATTCCAATCCTTGCAGCCTCTGCATCAACTTGTACCTGCGAATGCCAGGCGCCGCGCCACTGCATACCTGCTGAGTCATCCGCAGTTCCTGGATGCAGGCTTAGTAAAGCGCATCATGGAGGAGTGGCACGGCGGCACAACTCCTGCAAACAGTCAGGGGGTGACTATCTCAACACCTGCAGGTGACCTGCGCATCACATTGGCTTCGCGCATTGTTAGACTGCTCGACACTGCTGCCCCAGCGTCTACGCTGGATCCAACAGTGGAGTCCACAGTGGACGGCAATGCGGATCTAGCCCCGCGCACAGGTGAAACGCCCAACCATGACACGGCTGACCTCCCTGCTCCCTTTGATCCTCCCAGTGTGCCCACTGAGAGCGGTATCCCTGCCAATGCTGAGTCGGCGAGTCCTTCCCCGCTCCCGCCTGTATTTGAGGCTGAGAGCATGTCACGGCTTGCCCCCACTGAGGAAGTGAGTACCGTGCTGATTGTGCCTGCACCCTCCCCCGTGCCCCTGGAAAGCCGCGAAGTTTCTGTGCCTGCCAGTTCCCCCGCCCCTGCTGTGACCATTGCCGGCCTGGCCCCACCCGGCCTTTCCGACACCGGTGCCAGCCCCCTCTCAGGTGACCCGGCGAATGTTGCCCCCATGACCCCTCCAATGGACTGCGTGCTTACACCCCAACTGCGGGGTGTCGAGATGTGCTTGGCGCCAACTGCCTCCTACCGGTTACCAGCTGTACTAGCTGTCTTCAGCCATTTCAGCCTGGCGAGACACTGGTCAGGCTGATGTGTATGCACTACTTCCACAAGGAGTGTGTCACGCGATGGTTCTCCTCGCCCACTCATGGACATCGCTGCCCTTACTGCAATGTGAATCTGATCGGTTTGGACAGCTGATTGGCCGCTTCCCGTCCTCATAGTGGATTGGACACGCCAGGCATCCCGTCACGCAATGTGTTAGAGATGCCCGCATTTTCGACTATGCAGTTGAACCCCAGCCTCCTGCACTGCTGGGTTGTCGGCCGGCACAAGCATGAGAGTAGGGACCTGAATCGCACATGGGTCGACCACTGGTTGGCTATCCTCGTGGCTTAGGTTCTGGCGCCAGGTTCCAGGAAGTCTGGCATAGCCGTGCGATCCTACCGCCGTCAGTGTCTTCCTCTGCGATAGCTACCGGACAATAACTGACAAGAAGTAGGTGCACGGCCATAGCCACCAGCGGGTCTGCAGGATGCACGGGCGGCTCGTCCATCACCACAGGCTCGGACTCCTCGCAAGGGTTTCGTCGCCCCAAGACACAAAGACACAAGCCCCGAGTTGCATGACCCTCGAAGCCTCCAGACGCACCCGGCTGGCCGAACTGGCCCCACCAGCAGCAGGGACCTCAGACGAAGCCGAAGGCTAGTGCCGATGCCGCAACGTACCTACCCGTGACTGCCGAACAACCACAGCAGGCAATGTTCGTGATGTTTTTTCACAGCGGGGCCCCCCAGACGGACTTATGCCCCACTAGCTCGATCACGCCGCGCCGGCAACTGCCCATATGGTCCAGGGCACCGAGGAGGAGTCACAGCGCACGCCACACTCGAAGTCGACGCTACCGGCTCTCGAGGCGAGAAGGGAGTCCCATACTTCAGCAACCAACCTCTCCACCGGGGACCACGTGCAGACTCTCGGATGCGCCGTTTTCCCAGGAGGTGTCATCGGCCCAACAGATCCAAGACGGCGAGGAGGAGTCACGGCGCATGCTGCATCCGAAGCCAGCTCCCTGCTACTGTCCTTGGCCGCCACGGGATGAGAACTAGGAAGCGAACGTGGAGTGGTGTGCCGTACTTCAGCAGTCTCTCCACTGGGGACCACGTGCAGACCTTTGGAAGCAGCTGCTGATTGGACGACTCCTGAGACGCTGCTTCCTTCATCGATGCAAAAGCAAGGAGGCAACTACCTTGGCACCAAAGTTCTCGAGCAAGTGGTTGCAGCTGCCAGGACCGAGCTGGTGCACATCACTCAAACCCAACACCAACAGCAGAGGCACCGCAAACTGCTCGAGGAAACCGATAAGCCCCCAGCCGAGCCAGGCCGTGTTTCAGGAGCTTCCGGTGCATCCTGATCACGGCCACATG